GTAAAAAGAAAAAAATCTTTTCTCACAAACTTCTATTTTCAATTAGATGTTACTAGAGAAGCAACCTCCTCAAATTGTTTCAAAAGAGGTGACAATTGTAATGGTGTGCTGGAGCTGGCAAGTATAGGACAGCAAGGGCTGCCTGCTAAATATTCAGAATGTTTTGGCCTTGATAGGAAATTGGAAAATGCTACAAATAAACAGATTCCTGAGAGAGCTTGTTAACCAGTTCATCACTACTCTAATGACCAGTATACCTCATGGATCATTTGCATTTTTAGACATGTATTTATTTTTTGTGGTATTGGCATCAAAACAGACACACAGATCGATGGAACAGACTAGCAAGCACAAAAATGAAACCACACATTTATGGTCAACTGATGTTCAACAAAGGTGCTAAGGACACACAATGGGGAAAGAACAGGGTCTTGAATAAACAGTGTTGGGAAAATTGGCTATCCAAATGCAAAATAATTAAATTGGGCTATAATTGCACACCAAATACAAAAACCATCTCAAAATGAGTTAAAGTCTTAAATGTAAAAGTATTAGAAACTATTAGAAAGAAAACTATTGTAAAACTATTAGAAGAAAACTTAAGGAGAAATCTCTATGACAATTGTTTGGGCAATGAATTTTTTAATATGACCCCAAAAGTACAGGTAATAAAAGCAAAAAATATACAAATGAGATTATGTCAAACTACAAACCTTCTGCACGGCAAAGGAAGCAATCAACAGAGTGAAGAAACAACCTGTGGACTTGAAGAAAAGATCTGTAAACAATATATCTCTTAGAGGGCTAATATCCAAAATATATAAGGAACTCAACAGCAAGAAAACAAATAACTTAATTTAAAATGGATAAAGAAACTGAATAGATAATTTCCAAAAGAAGACATACAAAGGCCAACAGTTATATGAAAAAAGTGCTCAGCCAGGTGTGGTGGCACACGCTTGCAATCCCAGTGACTACAGAGGCTGAGGCAGGAGGATTACAAGTTCAAGGCCAGCCTCAGCAATTTAGTGAGCTCCTAAGCAACTTAGTGAGACCCTGCCTCAAAATAAAAAAATAAAAAGGTTTGGGGAAGTATTCAGTGGTAAAGTGCCTCTGGGTTCAATCCTAGTACCCCCCCCCAAATGTTTGACATCACTAATCATCAGAGTAATGCAAATATAAAATGACAATGAGATATCACCTCATATATTATGGTGGCTATTTACCAAAAAGAGGAAGTGTTGGCAAGTGTTGGCCAAGATATGGAAAAAAGGGATCACTGTACATTGTTGGTAGGAATGTAAATTAGTACAGTCATTATGAAAAAAAGTATGGGTCTTCCTGAAAAAATTAAAAATAGAACTACCATATGATCCAGCAATTCCACTTCTGGTATATATTCTGAGGAAATGAAATCAGTATGCTGAAGGAATGTCCACACTCCCATGTTCATTGCAGCATTATTCACAATAGCCAAAATATGCAATCAGTGGGTGAATGGATGAAGACAATGTGACACACACACACACACACACACACACATACACACACACACACACACAATGGAATACTATTCAGCCTGTACAAAAGAAAGCCATGTCCTTTGCAATGTGTATGAACTTAGAGGAAGTTATACTAAATGAAATAAGCCAGGCACAGAAAGATAAATGCCACATAATCTCACATACATGAGAATCTAAAGAAAGTCCAACTTATAAATGCAGAGAGTAGAATGATAGTTGCCAGGGGCTGGAGGGTTAGGGATGGGGGGATGGGGCGATGTTGGTCAAAGGGTATAAAGTTTCAGATAGATAAAATGAATCAGTCTGGGAGATCTATTGTATAGCATGGTGACTACATTTAACAATAATCTATTGTATACTTGACAAAATTGCCAAGACAGTAGATATTAAAAGTTCTCATCACAAAACATGATAAGTATGTGAGGTAATGGATACATTAATTAGCTTGATTTAACCATTTCATAATACATCAAAACATTACCCTGTATACCATAAATATATACAATTTCATTTCTCAACTATACTTTAGTAAAATGCTTGTTTGCTAACTAATAAAATTCTAGGCACTGTTTCAGTGAACTGGAAAATTTTCTATAGTATGATGGCAATATCTAGGTGGGAAAAGAATCCTTTCCTAGAGCCCCTTAATCACAGCACTGGGTTAAGCTGATCCTGAATAATAATAGTAATTGCTACTTATTTAACTATTTAATTATTTAATACTTGATACTATATCCTGGGTACTTTATACACATTTATATAGTTCAATCCTCATGAAAGCCCTGTGAGATATTATATCCATATATTACAGATGAAAAAACCGAGACTTACAAAAATTAGGCAACTTGATCAAGATCATCCATGTAAACGACACGGATGGTATTTGAGTTTACCTGGTTTGGACTGCAGTCCAAACTTTCTACCCAGTTGTTCTGAATAATCAAAATAATACTGTTACTGATGAAACCAACAGAATTGTTATAGCTTTGCTTGAGACATTTCCTCATGATAAGTTTAAATATGCATACATCTTAGATGACTCTGGTACACTTCTCCATAGAAGAAGAACAGTGACTTAGATAACCCTGTGGTTCCTCCAGGTCTTCTAAGTTTAAGATTTGGACCATACAAACTATGTTCATTATTTTCTAATGTATAGATTGGATTGTTAAACATTTCTTTAGATGTCTTCCTCAAAGACTAAGGGCTTGGGGCTGGGGATGTGGCTCAAGCGGTAGCACGCTTGCCTGGCATGTGTGGGGCACTGGGTTCCATGATTAAAGAAAAAAAATTTTTTTTGGTACCAAGGATTGATCCCAGGGTGACTTAACCACTGAATCACATCCCCAGCCCTACAATGTGTTTTTAATCAAAACTATCAGGGCTATCTCCACTTCAAATTGTACCCTCTCCTCATCTCTTAAGCAATATTTTACTCAGGGAAACCTACCACAGATTGTGTCAAAACTAAAACACAACAAACAATTTATCTCCAGGAGGTTGTCATAATTTCCCTGACTATAGTTGCTAATTATTGATGCTCTCCAGGTTTACACAAGAGATTGTCCATCTGTTTTCCTAGTTTGAACATGAAATGAATTTATGAAGGCAAGATTGTAACAACAGCCTCACTTCTCCCAGGCAACAAATTATGATGCTACATACCCAATTATCATATTACTGTAGAATCTGCTCAGAAGAAGATAACTGATCCCATCACAAACTAGCTGAAAGACTAGAAAATGACAAGATGATAAAATAATAGTAATAGCTAACATTTATTGAGTACCCACTGTGTGCCAGATACCACTCTAAGCACTCTGCTGTATTAATTCTTTTATCCTATCAAGTTAATTATTTCCAGTACACTTTGCTGTTGCTCTACAAAAGTTATCTATGGACAGAGAGTAAAGATGAATTTAACAGATTGGCTCTAGCAACACAAACCACATTCTCCCAAATTCAGTTTCCCTGACTCATTGTTTGTGTTTCCTGGTATTTTACAGTTAATGGGTTATATACAAGGGCAGAATCTGAGAGATAAATACTAAATCTAAGCAGTCTAACTCCAGAATCCATTCTTCTAACTCCTACCTTATAGGAGGTGCTAGTGAGAAAATTGGGAACCAAGGAGATGAAGCAAATTCACTTAGGTTTCCAACCATAGCATTTCATAATTAATGCAAAATTTAAAAATGTTAAACATAGTTTTCAAACATTATTTGAAACATTATTTGAAATGTTACTAAGTAACATTTCAAAAAAATGTTACTTAGTATTGTAAAAACAAAAACCAAATAAATACCTTGTAATAGCCTTTTTGCATTACATATCATGTCAAAATCATTAAGAAAAGCAAGCAAGTGCAACTTGATTCTAATATTTGCATTTAATTTGAGGTATAGACATATGCCACATTTATTCCATAACATTTAACTTATTGTTTGTGAAAAATTATAATATGTAAGATTGAAAATGCCTACTCTCTGTTAGTAGCCAGGATAAAACATATGGAAAGTAGTAAACGTTTGGAGAAGCATCTAGACAAAACATTTGTCCAAACACATCCCTCATGTCTCCTTTTGAAAGTCATGTTCCTGTGATCCCCACTTACTAGAATTCCTCTTCCTTAGTATCAGAAAGGAAGGTTTAGAAGCATTAAAGTGTCCAGTGAAGAATCGAGGAATCTCTCATCTTTCCCCCTGGATTAGAGGTACTTACAAAATCATTTTCTCCTTTCATCATGCTGGGAAATCCTGCCTACTTTCCTTCCTACTGCCTCAGTACCTCTCCTGCTGGAATGAAATTCCCTCTTGAAACAATATCGGTAATTTAGACATCAAGGTTTGTGAGTGCCCCAGAATCCAGAATGAACTCAAGAAGTAGGACCCTGTATATAGGTTGTTAAATTGAAAGCTCTCAAACAAAACTAATTAGAAAAACTTATATATATTCATTGAAATGAATCCCTTTCAGAAATTCTAATTTAGTGAGTCTGAGATAGGGCCAAGGAACCTACATTTCAAACAAGTGTTCTGGGTGATTCTGACATAGGGAGTTGATTCAAAGACCATGAGAAACATAGTTCTATATATCATAGAGGGTGGCCTGGAGGCAAGCCATGGTAGGGAGACGGTCAAAGAATTGTGGAACTATTGGTATCTGGATGTGGATGACTACCAAAGATTAACTCCATCTACTTGAACTCTGCTTCCATGTATCCAGCTTAGAAAATCACAACACAGATAAGAAATACTCATATGGTATAGAATAGAAAGAAAGTAAGTAATGGAAGGAGCTTCATTAAGCAAAGGACACTGAACTCTTAACCAAAAAGATGAAAGAATAAGTGATATTTTAAAAATCACCATTTTTTCAACTTTAAGGTATTACCTTCAGCCAGAGGAAAATCTTATTTTTCTAAGTCATGAGAAAATAAGCAAATACTTCTTAACTCATTCCCATTAAATAGCTTACCTTCTTCGTTGCCGGATCCCTGATAAAACCAGTAGGGTAATTGCAACTATGACGATACAAAATATCACACCAAAAATAATAATCCAGATGGGAACAGGTGGGTCCATGGGTGGTGCAATAGTAGAAGGAATTTCTAAAAATTCCAGAGTCTGGTCATTCAAAAAGAAGACATTGTTGATCCGGTTCCTATTCATTCTAAAATTCAATCATAATCAAAAACAAGCAAAAAATAAGACAATAAAAAGCACTAGAAACAAAGTATAGTACTGTCTCTCCACGATTATAAATATCTCTATAAACAAAGCATTCTCCTAGCAGGAGACTTCAGGTTGACTAGAAATTTTGCTAAGGACAATCGTGTTGAGGTTTCATTTAGTAATTTGTAGTGCTGGTTGCCAGAGATGCCCATCTATTACACTGCTGACCTGCATTATTGTGAATCTCCTAGAAGTAACTGAAAGTCCTGAGCTTTAAATCAATCTGCCCACCATGTTTTATTTCCTGAGAAATAGCTTCTAGATTACAATAACAGAACTCTACTTAAGGTGCTTACATAAATACCAACAATCCCATGAGGTAAAACTGTATGTAAAAGGTGAGTGAGAAGAATGGGAAGAAAAGAAAACCAGGAACAGAAAAAACATGAACCAAGAGTGTCTTCAGATTCATCAACTTGATTTCTTTCCATCAACTCAACAAACATTTGCCAAAAACTTACTAAGTATTAGATAACTGTGTTAGGTGCTGGAGATACAATATGAAATAAAAATGCTCAGGAGCTTACACTCTTGAAGGGTAGCAAATTAGTATATCCACACCAATAGTGCAGTGCTAAATGTTCTGTGAAAGAGGCAAATATGGGCACAGTGGGAGCACAGGAGAGGACCAAGTATGTTATAGTAAATGAGCTGTGCTTTGAGGGACAAGCAGGAATTCTTTAGACCAAAGTATGCAGTAAGCACAGTAATAGAATCATGGTAAAGTACTTCAGTAAACTGCAAGTGGTTCCATATGACTAAAGGTAATAGTGGTTCAGGAAACCAAAAACCTAGAAAAATCTAAAGGTAAATGTGTTACTTTTCCCTTTATTTCCCTGTATTTTTGGTGGTAACAATAGTTAGAAAGGTGTTGGTAGCAAAGACTTATTTAAATGAAAACAAATAAGTGAATTTCTAATTGGAATTACAAACTAGGTGAAACAATTCCTTGGAGATATGTTATGGTCTTTACTGAATTCACACTATACAAATAGACTTCATCTACCTTTAGAGCAGCCTGGAAAATAGAAAAATAATATGAACCTTATGTGACTTAAAGTTTCCTAGTAGCTTCACCAAAAAAGTAAAAAGAAACAGGTAAATTTAGTTTTAATAATGTATTTTGTCTAACATATCCAAGAAAATATAATTTCAAAAATATTGATTATATTGAATTGTTTTATATTTTGTTCTATACTGCCTTAGAAATTTGGTATTTTACACTTAGCAAGCATCTCATTTTGGACTAGCTATAGTTCAAGTGTTTGATAGGTATACCTGGCTGGCAGTTCCAATACTGGACAGCCTAGGTCTAGAGCCTGATAGTAAGTAATGACTTGAGAAATGCCACAGACCAGCACTAGCCCATCAGAGAAAGCCTTCTTTAGCAAATTAAGAAGAAAAAAAAATCTATAATGAGATCTGGGGTGTTGATCAGTGGTTGAATACCACTTAGTATGTGTGAAGCCCTAGGTTCAATCCCCAGCAACACACACACACACACACACACACACACACACACACACACACCCTATATTGAGGCAATCAGGTAATCTATAGCAAGGGATAATTTAAATGTTTTTATCAAACCATGAAATGGTTTCCTTTTCATAATTAAATATTGATAATTTGGGACCACAAACCTTTCCACAAAATAATGAACCCCACTACTAACATATAACTCAGAGAATAATGAAAAGTTTTTCTGCACACTGATTCTACCTACCCGGTTGGTCAACCCTTTGCTGCACTCCAGGCTGGAAATGTATTCTATCACCTCTCAGGCTGAATAAAAGTTCTGGCTCATACACAGATTAAATCTCCTCCACTATAGGAGTCCCCATTTGGCATCAGTCACCATGAATATCTTTCAACCAGGACCAGAGTTGAATTTGGCCAGATCCTCACAAAAGAGCAACAGCATACATCTTAGAATGGCTGCCCCTTTCCTTGCATCATTCTACAGGTATAAATAGTATAGATTTAAAACCACTGTAGGTATGGAAGAATATGCCTAGGTCAAGTCTTCACTCTTTTTAAACTTTCTAGTATAGTGTTATGGGTTAGATATTAGGTATCCCCCAAAAGCTCATGTGTGAGACTATGCAAGAATATTCATAGGTGAAATGATTGGATCATGAGAGCTGATCAGTTGATTGATTAATTCACCCAATCAGTGAATTAATCCCCTGATAGGGATTAACCAAGTGGTAACTGAAGGCAGGTAGGGTGTGCTGGAGAAGGTGGGCACTGGGGACGTGCCTTTGGAGTATATATTTTATATCTGGCAAGTGGAGTCTCTCTCTCTGCTTCCTGATTATCATGTGAGCTGCTTCCCTCTGCCATACTCTTCCCCTGTGATGTCCCACCTCACCTCCAGCCCCGAGGAATGGAGCCAGCTATCTATGGACTGAGACCTCTGAAACCTTGAGCCTCCAAATAAACTTTTTCTCCTCTAAAATTGTTCTTGTCAGGCCTTTTTGTCAGAGCAATGAAAAAGCTGACCAAAACACTAAAAAGCTTTAGCAAATCAATAAATCTCTTTGATCCCCAGTTTCTTCATTTCTAAAACAAGGAAAATGAGCCTGTGTTCAAAAATTATTGGCATTAAAATTAAATGCCACAGATGCATAAGACATGACTTATGAACCAGAAAATGTTATGTAAATATGAGACAGAACTATTTTGCCCAGCCACATAGATTCTTCGGCCCTGAAATTCCTACTCTCTAGGTACCATCTCCTTTCCCTTCCCCCACTCTATTCTTCCTTCTTAGCACTATTTCTTTTATTTTTATTCCAGTCTGGCATACCCTATTCATTCCTAACATAAATTCTCATTTTATTGACCATCCCTACATCCTAAATAGCTTCTCTTGCTAAGGCCTTTGAAACAGACATTTAGTTGAGAACATTTATCATCTTTCCCTACCTTTACCCCAAACAATCTTCCTTCTCACATTAACTGAAGCCTAGTTTAACTACAGTGCTGCCATTTTCCCTGAAGCCCTCCCAGATCACAAGACTTGAACAAAATCTCTTTTACCATGAAATTTGATATTGCTAGTTATTACTCCCTAAGGGGTGGGTTTTAATTGTATTCTTTTTTAATATTCACTTTTTAGTTTTTGGTGGACACAATATCTTTATTTTATTTATATGTGGTGCTGAGAATCGAACCCATTGCCTCACACATGCTAGGCAAGCACTCTATCACTGAGCCACAACCCCACCCCTTAATTGTATTCTTAGTGGCAAAAATAATTTAGTTCAAAGACCCTTATTAGAACAGATTCAAACATTTCCTGTTGCTATAGATCCTCAGTGCTTTTGCTTCAGCAAGAAAAAATAGATATTTATTCACAAAAATCTTTGGCATTTGATTAAATACTCATTATTTTAATTGTTAATATTTTATAGACAGTAAATGAGTTCTTTCACTAGGAATTTCTCCTTGGTAAAGAGAATAATATGCATTTCAGCAATTTGTAAAACTTTTGTGGGGATGGTTACTTTGTTTTGTTCTTTCTTTCTGTGGAAATAATTTATTTCCTCAGCTTATTTTTTGAACATACCTTTGCCCAACATCAATCACATGCAAGCATTTGATGTTCTGACACACACAAAGTGTGCATTAATTGAAATAAAACCAAATTACATTCCTTTACTCCTTGAAAGTAAAAAATTAGTTTCACTTTTGAACGTTTGCTATGATTCCAAGGAGGAAAGGGGTGCAACTCTTAGGAAAAATTGCCCCCTTGAAATGGGCAAAAAAGGTTACTTATTCCTAACATAAATTATCATTCTATTGACTATCCCTATCTCCTAAATAGCTTCTCCTGCTAAGACCTTTGAAACAGACATTTAGTTGAGAACATTTATCATCTTCCCCTACCTTTACCCCAAGCACTCAATCTTTTTTTTTAACCAAATTTCCTTCTTAGTATTATCTTTTTGGGCAATTTCTACATCATATTGTCTTTGAGATATTTTGCAAAACTATAAGTTCTAGAAAACTAACATAATGCAAATGATTTTTGTCCATAGAAAATCAAATAAACTGTGCCTGGTAGAACATGATCCATAACTGCCTGATAGAATGATGGATGCATCTATTTGTAAATGTATTTCATCATTCTTCATTCCTATATATGTGTGGTTCCTTAAAGTCCCCTTTGAAATAGTTTCAATGAGCTAGGCACACTGATGCACACCTGTTATCCCAGCAGCTCAGGAGGGTAAGGCAGGAGGATCTCAATTTCAAAGCCAACCTCAGCAACTTAGCAAGGCCCCAAGCAACTTAGCGAAACCCTATCTCAAAATAAAAAATAAAAAGGCTGAGCTACAGCTCAGTGGTTAAGTTTAATTCCTGATACCAAAAAATAAAAAAGTGAAATACTTTCAACACCTTACTAGTTCCCTCATTAATTAAGGAGATAACAAAACCTTTGATAGTATTCATTTTTAATTTGTATGAGTCATGATCTTTTTTTAATATTCATTTTTTAGTTGGACACAATATCTTTATTTTATTTATTTATTTTTATGGGATGCTGAAGATTGAATCCAGGGTCTCACACATGCTAGGTGAGCACTCTACCACTGAGCCACAACCCCAGCCCATGAGTCATGATCTTTATTGTTAAATTATCTTTTAAAGGTAAAGATTGAAAAAGATAAGTCTTCAGAGACTCAAGAAATGATGATATTTTTCTAGGTTTTAAAATAAAATTCAATGGTATGATTTGTTGCTTAAACTCCTTATATGTGGGCTGGGGTTGTGGCTTATCGGTAGAGTGCTCGCCTAGCACGTGTGAGGTGCTGAGTTCGTTCCTCAGCACCACATAAATATAAGTAAGTAAAATAAGGGTATTGTGTGCATTATACAACTAAAAAATTTTTTTAAAAACCTCCTTACATGTATTAAATCATTTAACCTATTTAACCTCAGTAGCTCTGAGAGAGGGGTACCATAATTACATTTTACAGATGATGAGAGGAAGGCCAACAGAGGGTGAGTAACTTGTCTGTATTCCAATAGTTATCAACAGGCAATGCCAAAAATTAAAAACCTAGGCATTCTGGCTCCTGACAGCCTGTACCATTAAAGAATAGGGCCACAAAAGGGTTCTTGCCAAAAGGGGACAATAGAGGGCTGGGGCTGTAGCTCAGTGGTAAAGCACTTGCCTTGCAGGTGTGAGGCACTGGGTTTCATCCTCAGCACCACATAAAAATAAAGATACTGTGTGCTCATCTATATATA